GACCGGCTGCTGTGGCATCCGCATGCATATATACTAATACGTAATGTTCATTCATATGCTATCTCTAGAAAAACCTATAGTTTTGCATACTCTGTCGGGTTTTGAGTGCCCTTACTGTCTCAGTATAACTAATCGTGGTCCCTAGATCATCAGCTCTCAACTCACTGAACAACATGCACAGAGCTGGCTCACACCCTCTGCAACTTAGAGGTCTTCCTGTTCCTATAGGAAAAACGTAGGTTAATTAGAAACTCTAGACATACTCATGTCATGAAAAGAAACAAAAAGAATAATAATAGTGTTATCTTTTTAACTATTGGTCACGCGTTCTATGTTACGCTTTTCTGGAATCTGATTGGTTACTTATAAATGGCATTAAGTTAAATACAGTCAATTGAGCTGTGAAGTCAAAACATATTTATGGCTTGCAAACTATATTGTTATATAGTATATTATTTCTATATCATTATACAGTTGGAATGGGAAATGAACAAATGAATGTTTCTTTCTTTACGATTGTGCAGGAAATTCTTAAAGCGGGTTTGGTCGAATTTTCATCTCCGCCTTTCGCATTGAATAAAGGTTCCAAGAGTGCCATCTTATTCCGCTGCTACTATCATCATCTGCACCCAGGTACTGGCCATTGAGGTTGCAACGATGACAGTTCTCGTACCACCAAGCTCCTTTGTAGTTCATAGCGCAGTTATTACTACCAGAAACATCATTGTCGCTATCCTTAGTAGAAAACTGCATTTGATTGTGAACAGCAAGGGAATCACCTCCATCACCTATTAAAAAAACGGTCATATGTTCAGTTGATTCATTTTATTAGACTCTTACGGTTAGTAACGAGGTCTACAGCTAGGTGATAATAAATGCGCAATGCCATACGACTTTGCATTCGCATTAAGGTGCTAAAGAGAATGATAATGTTCTAATGCTAGAAATTAATAGTCAAATATAGTTCCAAATTAAAAGCTTATCTAAAAATATTGTCCGCAACATAGGCAGTCTGATGAAATAACCAAATAGAACTGTTTGAGTGCAAACGTATATATATTTAGGAATATAAATAGAATGTATAGAACAGACTTCACTGCGTGGCTGCTCCTCAACTGTAAAGTCTATATCACTATGTTTAAAAAAACACTCGTAAAGAGGATGCCCGCATATTTTAGAAATATGGGTATACTTCTTTGGAACTCGAAATATCCTTGTACATTTTTTATCACTTCTTTACCACCCTCTTTATAGGTAACGTTTTAAACAATGGTAATGTACATAATGTCAGGCCCTGTGCGACTCATTGGCGCAATAGGCCTACATGATGATGATGAATGTACATAATGTAATGATTTAGGACCAATTAATTACATTTGGTGAAAAAAATAATGACGCGATGGAATGAAAAAGAAGAAACGTGTTTACAAAAAAACATACGTTGAACCCCCGTTCAACGCTGAAAAAATTTTCAGTGCGGTCACTGGCAACGTTTTAACAACTTATAATCCTATAGCTTGGTGGTATACCTGAATAATTTCCAATTGTCAATCTGTATTTGTCTGATTCATTAGTCATATTAAATGTTTCAAATTTGGCGAAACTTTCAGTGCTCTTGAAATCCATCAAATCAACTCTTAGAACATTTTGGCCAGAGTTCGTCAAACGATGTATTTTATCAAGGCCCAACCAGAACTCGCCGCTCAAATTACCAAAGCCTGCTTTATAGTCTGACCATCCAAGGAAGAAATCTTGATTTCCATCTTGTCGTCTTTGAAACACGGTCCAGCCACCCCCGTCTATGTTCATATCACATCTGACTTGAAACGATCCCAGGCCGTCAGGATCGATGGTATAAACACCATCTGTTTTCACTCCTTTGTTATACAAATGTGCACAGCTGGAGCCGGTGTCTATCAAGATGTAAAATATGACTCGTGATATTTCACTCGTATTTTTAACCACTGTCACTATCAATGCCAAATTGTACTCGACATCGCACGATTACATAAACTAATTTATCATTTATTTTATACGTGGTTAACTGGAGCAAAATAAGGTGCTCGATGCAGCCAGACTACTCGCTGAAAATTGTGCAATCCGTTGCTGATATTAATTTGAATAAAACGTTAAGCAATAATAAAATTTAATAAAATAAGCCACTATGTTATTAGAATTTAATCTTCGACAAGCATGAAATAAATGCTGAATTCGCTTCTTTATACTTAATACAGCAATGGACCGCTTGCATAATAGACCAACTTTTTATTTAGGTGACAAAAAGGGAATTTCCGAACATCACATACCAAAATTAGTAAAATTGCCAAGTTTGGCTGCGAAATATTGTAAGGCGCGGAAAATATAGCCATGCGAATTTGGCAATTTTGTATACCTTTAACTTACGGCTGGACGTGTGTAATTAAATTAATTACACGCTTCCGGCCGTAGTAAAAAAGTATACAAAATTGCCAAATTCGCGTTGCTATATTTTCCGTACTAGTTGACATTTTGCAACCAAACCTGGCAATTATACTAATTTTGGTATGCTCTTTTTAGCTGTGGTGGTTTATTTCTTCCTGAATGCCTAGATAATAAGTTGGTCTATTACGCAATTGGTCCATTCATTGTTTCTTCATTGATTCATTCATTCGTTTCATTGAATGGATAATGCTCAATATGACACATAAGGTGCCGAATCAGTTTGAGAGTAATTGGCCCTGATCAATTTTGATTAAAACTTATTTTGTATTTTTGCCACATTCTAATTAATTTTTGGGGATATCTTTGATGTTGCGGCTTACCTGATTTTACACTGTCATTTTTTCTCTGTTCCTCCTTATAATACTTTAGCTGTTGAAAATGATTTCAGAAATACTTAGATGAAGTACACTAAAGGTTTACACACGACGTACGAAAATTCACCGATGACTACAATGGGTTTGCATATCAATGACCCGCATGTGTTGTGTTTTTCGTTGCTCTCGTATAAATAAACAAGTTTTCGCATATTTAACTATATACATTTTTATGACCTAATACTATAAATTGGACACCGTGATATCGTACGCGTGGTCCAGTCAACACTCGTGCAATTCCTCTTCATCAGTGATTTTCCGGCCTATGAAAACCTGAATTACATACCGCTTTTTCATCGAGCATTAACATCCATTCTCCGGTCATTACGATGTCATTTTTCTTTTCTGTGATGTTGGTCAGTTGGCAGTTCACAACATTGATCTTTTCGCTGTAGTTGTATCCAAAACACCCTGGTTCTTTCTGACAGAGTTCGTAACATTCTATCGGGACAATCCCTGAGTTGATGGTATGACTTGATATGATTTCATCTGGAAGTAAAGACGATCCTTCTAAAAGTAGGCAATATAATTATTTTAAGGAAAGAAAGGCTTCAACACTGAAACTTGAAAAATATCACCTGTTCTAATCGGGTTATAAATCCTGGGAGAACATTTCTGTGAAGAGATACATGCAATTTCGACCAGTAGTAAGATCAATGTTTTTATCTTCAGCATTATTGCACGAGGTCGTTAGCTCTGTTTTCTTTGACATACAGTTGCTGAAATGACACTTTATCGTTACAGCAGGTTATAATAAACGTACAATTTCATAAGACTTCGCATTAAGGTGCTAGCGATAATTATCATATTCCATTGCTAAAAATTAAAGGTAAATAGTTCCAAATTAAAAGTTAATCTGAAAATATTGTCCGCAACCTAGGCATCTGCATCTGATGAAAAAACCAAATAAAACTGTCTGAGTGTAAACGTGTATATTTATGGCGGAAACGTTAAAATTGCAATTAAGCCCGAAAATAAATCCTGTCGGCTCGTGTCGTTTGACGTTTTTAAATATTAGGACAGTCTTCATTTTCTTTAAAAGCTACCGCGACTGTTCCTTAATTAACTCTATATTATATGAAAATCTATATCACTATGTTCAATCAAAATACATGTTTGGAACTCGAAATATCGAAGTAGATTTGTTGTTCTGTTTATAAACGTCACAGCGTAGGTACGTTTTCTGTCACTAGATTGCCCATTGCTTGAGCAGAGAGAAGCACAGCTGACCACCTCGTATATAATTAAAGCACTAAGAATATTATGCTATTTTTCGATACACAAATGAATGTTTTGATAGCAGTTTTATCAAGCTATGACTTGCGCAGAAGCCATTGACCACACTTGCTGAAAGGATAAAATTGAAGCGATGATATCATTTCGTCTCGTCATCTGGAACCATTCTCGATTGCTCCTGCGTTTGATCCTTAATGATGGTTCAGACAATCTGTTTTGTTAGTTACAATTTTTGGCACTTCACTCGATGCAGGTAAATTCTAATCTTTCAAAGGGTCTTAATTTCGAGTGGAATTATACACACTTCAAATTCAAGCCAGGAAAAGTTGATGGAAAATGAGTTTACGATCGGTCCTCCGGCAAGAATCGAACTTACGTTTTTAATTGCGATCACGGTGCAATGCTCTTGCCACATTATTTATTATATAAGGTTTATTTATTATATAAAACGATTATTTATTATATATTGTTTATTTAATATATAATGATTATTTATTATATGATTTTTTTTATTATATAATGAATATTCATTTATATAAGGTTTATTTATTATATAATGATTATTTATTATATAATTTTTTTATTATATAATGAATATTCATTTATATAAGGTTTATTTATTATATAATGATTTTTTATTATATAATGTTTATTCATTATATAATGATTATTCATTATATAATGATTATTTATTATATAATGTTCATTTATTATATAATGAATATTTATTATATAATGTTTATTTATTATGTAAAACAATGATTTATTATATAAGATTTATTTATTATACAATGAATATTTATTTATATAAGGTTTATTCATGATAGAATGATTACTTATTATATTATAAAAAATGCTTATTGGCTACTTATAAATGGCATTAAGTTAAATACAGTCAATTAAGCTGTAAAGTCAAAACATATTTATGGCTTGCAAATTATATTGTTATCAGTATAGTATTACTTCTATATCATTATGCAGTTTGAATGAGAAAGGAACAAATCAATGTCTTTTCCTTCACGATTGTGTAGGAAATTCTTAAAGCGGGTTTGGCCGAATTTTCATCTCCGCCTTTTGCATTGAATAAACGTTCCAAGAGAGCCATTTTATTCCGCTGCCACTATCATCATCTGCACCCAGGTACTTGCCATTGAGGTTGGAATGATAACAGTTCTCGTACCACCAAGCACCTTCGTAGTTCATAGCACAGTTATTATTATTACCAGAAACATCATTGTCGCTATCCTTAGTAGAAAACTGCATTTGATTGTGAACATCAAGGGAATCACCTGCATCACCTTTAAAAAAAGGAATAAGTTCAGTTGATTCATTTTATTAAACTCTTACGGTTAGTAACAAGGTCTACAGCAGGTGATAATAAATGCGCAATGTCATACGACTTTGCAAAATAAATAGAATGAAGAACAGACTTCACTCCGCGGCTTAACCTTAACTATAAAGTCTATATCACTATGTTTAATAAAACACTCGTAAAGAAGATGCCTGCATATTTTGAAAATATGGGTATACTTCTTTCGAACTCGAAATATCCTTGTACATTTGTTATCACTTCTTTACCACCCCCTGTAGGTAACGTTTTAAACAATGGTAATGTACATAATGTCAGGCCCTGTGCGCCTCATTGGCGCAATAGGCCTACATGATGATGAAGAATGTACATAATGTAATGATTTAGGACCAATTAATTACATTTGGCGAAAAAAAACTAAAACATTGGTAACCTCCTTAGAACTGTTTTGCTATTACACCCCCGATAAACCAGTAGCGTCGCAAAACCAGAGAATGTTTAACGGGGCAAAATAATGACGCGATAGAATGAAAAAGAAGAAACGTGTTTACAAAAAAACATACGTTGAGCCCCCGTTCAACGGTGAAAAAAATTTCAGTGCGATCACTGGCAACGTTTTAACAACTTACAATCCTATAGCTTGGTGGTATACCTGAATAATTTCCAATTGTCAATCTGTATTTGTCTGATTCATCAGTCACATTAAATGTTTCAAATTTGGCGAAACTTTCAGTGCTCTTGAAATCCATCAAATCAACTCTTAGAACATTTTGGCCAGATTTCGTCAAACGATGTATTTTATCAAGGCCCAACCAGAACTCGCCGCTCAAATTACCAAAGCCTGTTTTATAGTCTGACCATCCAAGGAAGAAATTTTGACTTCCATCTTGTCTTCTTTGGAACACGGTCCAGCCTCCACCGTCTGTGCTCATATCACAACTGACTTGAAACGATCCTTGGCCGTCAGGATCGATGGTATAAACACCATCTGTTCTCACTCCTTTGTTATACAGATTTGAACAGCTGGAGCCGGTATCTATCAAGATGCATGTAACATGTATTTAGGAAAATATGACTCGTGATATTTCACTCGTATTTTTAACCACTGTCACTATCAATGCCAAATTGTACTCGACATCGCACGATTACCTAAACTAATTTATTATTTATTTTATACGTGGTTAACTGGAGGAAAATGAGGTGTTCGATGCGGCCACACTACTCCCAGAACATTGTGTGCAATCCGTTGCTGATATTACTTTGAATAAAACATGAAGCAATAATAAAATTTAATAAAATAAGCCACTATGTTATTAGGATTTAATCTTCGACAAGCATGAAATAAATGCTGAATTCGCTCCTCTATACTTAATACAGCAATTCATTTTTTCTGAAATTGATTCTTCATTGATTCATTCATTCGTTTCATTGAATGGATAATACTCAATATGACACATAAGGTGCCGAATCAGTTTGAGAGTAATTGGCCCTGATCAATTTTAATTAAAATTTATTTTGTATTTTTGCCACATTCTAATTAATTTTTAGGGATATGTTTGATGTTGCGGCTTACCTGATTTTACACTGTCATTTTTTCTCTGTTCCTCCTTATAATATTTTGGCTGTTGAAAATGATTTCAGAAATACTTAGATGAAGTACACAAAAGGTTTACATACGACGTACGAAAATTCACCGATGACTACAATGGGTTTGAATATCAATCACCCGCATGTGTTGTGTTTTTCGTTGCTCTCGTATAAATAAACAAGTTTTCGCATATTCAACTATTTACATTTTTTTTCCTAATACTATCAATTGGACACAGTGATAATGTACGCGTGGTCCAGTCAACACTCATGCAATTCCTTTTCATCAGTGATTTTCCGGCCTGTGAAAACCTCAGTTACATACCGCTTTTTCATCGAGCATTAACATCCATTCTCCGGTCATTACGATATCATTTTTCTTTTCTGTGAATTTGGTCAGTTGGCAGTTCACAACATTGATCGTTTCTCTATAGTTGTATCCAACACATTTCGGTTCTTTTTGGCAGAGTTCGTAACATTCTATCGGCACAATCCCTGAGTTCACGGTATGACTTGATATGATTTCATCTGGATGTAAAGACGAACCACCTAAAAGTGGTCAATATAGTTAAAGAATGCTGAAGAAACCTAGGCCTATCAGTAATTTCAGTAATGAAAGGGGCATAGTTGTTTTGGAACAAACCAAAAGCATTATATTAAATACATATACATGGACGACTTACCTGTTGTAATGATATTGTAAATCCTGTGAGAACAGTTCTGTGCAGCGATAAAAGCAACTTTAACAATCAGTAAGACGGATATGTGAAACATGATTTCAAGAGGTTGCCAATTGTTCTTTCTTTGACATGCACGCAGTAGCTAAAATAACGTTTTATCCACAATGCAGATGAAATAAGTATGCGCTGTGACGTCTTGTAAATAATTATTAACATTAATTGAACAATTGACACAATCACATATTGGCTATAATAATTATGAATTTAATTTAAGTGCATATATATAATTAATATGATTAAAGTAACACATTTATATTATGATTGCAGGAAATTTAAGCTGTTGCCGAAAAATCTACTTTCATATACGGAGATGCATGAAAATGTACATAAAAATATACTTTCGTTTAGAAATATGTTGTTCGAAAGAATTAATGATATATTTTTAATTATATATCATCGCTATTTGGACAAATTTTTAAACGTAAACGTTTTCCTCTTTTATTGCTTAATTTCGTATTCTCTTTCCCGCATGTGCCGTCCCTTGCTTTTATTAAACATTTTAGGCAGGCTCTTTTTTAGGGAATCTTTCGTGGGGGCGCCATTAACAAATTGTTGCGAACTAGAAATTGTAAATTTAGGGATGCCGGAGTTTGTATGGGTGTCTGGGGGACCTCCGTATACCTGACTTGATTTCCTGCATTTTGGGGATACTTAGGAGGGGGGAGAATCTGTCACTGGAGGAGAAGAAGGGGCCGGGAGGCTTTAACCCACCAGTTATATAGTTATTATATAATTATATAGTAAAACAGGCCTCGCTCTTAGGAATAATACATATATTTTGTTATCAGCAACCCTGATATACGTTAAGGTCTGTTTTCCACTTTAACCGTATCGTGGCGTAACGTAGCGTATCTCTTTGTTTCTTTGTTTAAATTTAGAAATCGCTGTGTAATTGATTATTTATCGTAATAGCAGCGAGTGGATGTTTGACTGTTAATGGTTGTGCATGTTAAAACTGCTTTGGACGAATTATCATCTCCATCTGTTTCAGTGAGTGATAGCGCCAAGATTCCCACATAATTCCGGTGGCATTTTCATGCGGGCCTGCATCCAGGTACGGGCCATTGAGGTTGGAATCATGACAGCTGTTGTACCACCAAGCTCCTTTGTAGCTCGTAGCACAATTACCACTCCAAACATCATTGTCACTATCCTTGGTTGAGAACTGCATTTCATTGTGATAAGCAAGGGAATCACCTGCGTCACCTTTCAACAAAATATACAAAAAGTAATATATTCTTTTTCATTCTAATAGATTCTTCCGTACAGCAACTAGATATTTACTATCTTGTCTTTAGTTTTCTTGGTATAAAATTGCGAAGAGTATCTGCAAGTATGTATTTTTATTTAATGCACTAGACTGTTTTAAAGAGTACTGTATGTAGAGTTGTAGTGAATGTGCAAATGCATTTAAGTAAAGATTGATTATCAACGACGTTCTAATAGACAGAGTCGATCTTTGCCCTAGAAAGCATACTTTCGTTCTACAAAGCGGCTGAAAACGCTCAAAGCATATGTTTCTGTATCTCACTAGATTGATACTGAAATACAGGTTCAGATGGCATAATAAAACCTAAACTTTGAATGGTGGTATCACATGGATATTTCTAAAAAAATGCCATATACTCGTAAAATACTAAACGCAAAGAAAAATACAGTATTGGGCGGTGTGCCTTAAGTGTGTGCCGTATAGTTTTATTAACCTTCGTATGGGCTATCTAACAAAAAAAGGTTGGAGGAATTGCGTTTAGATTGTAAGATGAAAGCTGCAAAGAGAAAATAAGCTTTGTGTGACAATACTTATATGTGAGCGTTGCAAGAATGGTAGAGTTCTGGCGTGGTTTACCTGAATAATTGCCGATAGCCAACCTGTATTTGCCTGATTCATCAGACACACTAAAGTCACCATATTTCGCGAAAGCCTCAGTGCCATTGAAATCCATCAAATCGACTCTTAGAACATTTTCGCCAGATTTCGTCAAACGATGTAGTTTATCGAGGCCCAGCCAAAACTCGCCGCTCAAATTACCAAAGCCAGCTTTATAGTCCGACCATCCAAGGTAGAAATCTTGACTTCCATCATATCTATTTTGTAACACAGTCCAGCCACCCCCATCTGTGCTCATATCGCATCTGACTTGGAACGATCCCAGGCCATCAGGATCGATGGTAAAAACACCATCCTCTTTAACGCCTTGGTTATATAGATGGGCGCAGCTTCTAGCTATAAAAATGTGAAATATATAGAACAAGATTACTTGATTAGGCTTCTCTCTTTTTGTTCATCTCAAACGTGATTAAAATGACTTTGCTGTTTATTTACATTTCAGACTACGACTTCGTAAACATAAAATCAATGTCCCATTCCTATGATGAAAGGTACTGAATATGATATAATTTTTCATGCCTGTATTGTTCAGCGGAGTAGTTTGTGTAGACGATGGATAATATGAAGTTGTTGAAGCTTCAGGAGTGACCGGTGGTTGCACGAGAGGTTTGGACGTTAAATCAACACTTTGGCGTAGTTCTTTACTTGAATGTCCTGAAATAAATCACATGAGAACATTTAATCTTACTTATCCGAGTCAAATGTTTTTAAATTGACTTTGCTGTTAATTCACATCAGTATCGCTCCGTAAACATTAGTGTCCCATTCCTATATAACATCATTAAAGGTAGTATGAAATAATTTTTCATGCCTGTATTGTTGAGCGGAGTAGTTTGTGTCGACGATGGATAATATGAAGTTGTTGAAGGTTCTGGAGTGGTCGGGGATTGTACGAGAGGTGTGGAAGTTAAATCAGCAAATGAGGTTTTTAATGCAGCCAGAGTGCTTGCAACATTTTGAGGTAGTCCTTCACTTGAGGTTCCTGAAATAAATGACACGAGAACATCAAATTCTTCGGCAATAAATTGTATGCTCAAGATCGTGCACATGTGGCTGTAGTCGATATCTTCAATTGATGTTTTTTCATAAATTGTTTGGAATATTTCACTGAATTATGCTACCAAGTGAATCATATAATAAGCGAATGGGGTGACAACATTAAAGGCACCTAACTCAAATGGTTTATAAAAATTAGTATGGTCTCATTCACGTTTTTACTCTGTCAGCATACCTGAACTCGTGTTTTCATTCCTTCTCTTTTCCTCATTCTTTGCCTATTATTTCAGAAAAGCTTGCATGAAGTATCCCGAAGGACGAGAACTCATCGAAGTGAACTGTTCATCACTTGAGTTTAGTGCGTTGTCTATTTGCTACACTTGTTAAATGGCATTTTATTTATTCAGCTTTGCATCACTCGTTTAAAACAGTTTGCCAATTAACTTTTGTTTATCAGCTGCGACTGTGAATGACGCATTGTACAGCGCCATATTGTGAATAGGTCAATTAGTATTCGTTTAATATTAATCTCCTTCTGGTTTGAGCAATAATTTTGCAGCTGTAAAAATTTCATTCACACATACATACCGCTTCAACATCTTCCATTAGTATCCATTCTCCTTTCAACGTAGCGTGATCTCTCTTTTCAGTGATGTTTGTCAGCTGGCAGTTCAGGACGTCTTTTGTGTTTCTGTAGTTGAATCCAACACATTTCGGTTCGTTTTTGCAGAACTTGTAACATTCTATTACGACAGCCCCAGATTTTACTGTATGATTTGATACGATTTCATCTGAAGATAAATGGGAACTTCCTAAAAGTAGACAATAAGATTGGGAATGATTAAAGAAATACAAGATCTCAAACAGCGCGATTTTGAATGACGCCATTAAAACAAGTCGAAATCCTTTAAAATGTTTAAATATGGACGTCTTACCTCTTCTAATGATGTTATAAGTCCTGGGAGAACAGTTTTGTGAAATGATACACGCAATTTTAAAAACCAGTAAGGTTAAAGTTGTTATCTTAAACATGATCGAAAAAGGTCGCCAATTGTGCTTTCTTCGAGAGTGGCAGGCCTAAAATAACTCTTTATCCAAAGAACAGATGATAACAAGTGCAGCTAAGTGCAGGGGTTGTGACGTTAAAAAGGTTAATTGTGCCTAATTGTTATTAGCTTAATTTTGCTTTTTAACGTCACAAGGGGTAAAAATGGGTGCATTCATGCATACAAAAAGGCCTTCAATCTTTTGTTATTTTCTTAACATACACTGGACCTGAGTTACTGTTCGCCAACATCGTTAGACCAGACTTTGACCAAATTTTTAAAATTAATCAGCAGCTTGTGGAAGTGATCCAATGTGAGTAAATTGAGCACCGAAACGTTTCAAAACGGCTGCCCTATTAATCTGCAGAATGTCGGGAAATCGTAGCCAAATTGAATTTTTTCCAACAATTTTAAGTTTGTTTTTCCACTCAATATTTTTCACAATAAAAGTTAAGGAAGCATTATGTATGGACGAAATGCGACTACCATTAAATTTAATTGGGTATTTGGAATATGCTCATCCTTCTTTATTGACTTTAAATCGATCTTAGTCGACATCTCAATTCTGCAAGATTTAGTTCAGCTAGCTCAGTATTCTGCTAATGTAGATCAGTACACAGTTGTTTCACTTGTTTATGAATGTAGTGACTGTTACATGAAGTGCGCATAAGTGATTAACAATAACGCAGGATTAGGTCAGCGGGCTCGACCGAGCACATGGGACTCGAGCGAGAGAACTAGGGAGTTGGGACGTTGACAATATTTTGTGTTTATATTATTGTACAAGCGTTTTTCTCTATAAATAAAAAGCGTTCTTCGTACACAACAACCTGCTCAAGAAGTTAAATTATCAGCGTCCAGATGGCCAAGGGTAGTTTGGCAATTATCTTGTGGCTAAAAGACCCTTTGCTTCGAAAACATTAATATGTTTTTGATCGATGCAAATACAAATACAAACTTCGTAAGCAAAAACACAATGAATGAGTGAATCAGCAGTCATGCTGGTTATATTGAAGTCCAAACGTTGTACTTTGTCAAACGTCGTGCAAACATAAACGATTAGCTCTCTTAGCGCGGATTTTTGTTTCGGTTCTCGCCAACTGCCATTCATTGAATATTCTGTATGTCCATTTGGTGGAGTCTCGAGTCGATTTTGGCACGGCATCTTCCAACAATTTCTTCTCTTCTTCTGCAGTTTCAGCTTTACGAAAAACCCTCTTTGAGCCTTGCATTCGCACGCAAAAGGAAATAAGGATTTAAATGAGGCTTTTTGTTTGTGAATTCTGTTATTGTATTGATTCAGCGAACGAAGAATAAAGCGATTGAAAGTTGTGTGTAATTGAGTTCGTTGTTTCAGTTTATTATTAATCTTCAGTTGTGAACGTACCTCATCGATAATATTGATGAGGTACGTTTAGAACTAACTATCCCCCATCTCTGTACTTGGCGGAAATACGTCATTTAACATTAAAAAGATGCTTAAGAGTTACCTTGCCTTTTATACAACAGTCTTTGGTGATTTGTGAAAGATAACTAAAGTTTAACTCGACCATCGAAATGGTTAATTTTTTCAAGCTATGGGAAGTATTTTTCTAACACTTTTTTTAAGTATTATGTTTATGGAAATTACTACAGCATAACTTTTAAATAAATCAATGAACTGATTGAAGCGAAATATCAATAACCTTTTGTCCGGAGCTATTTTAAGGATATTATATATTGGTAAACGCTTATAAACAACGAATTCTGTCACTTTTTAAGCAACTCTTAAGCCGGTTTTCCACTAGGCGGAATTTTTCGATCGAACGAAATTTCTCGCTAGATTTTCTTTTCAATTGTGACCGGTGAAGGGAATCCGCTACGGTTGAGCTCTCGCAATTGAAAAGAATATCAGACGAAAAATTTCGTTCGGTCGCAAAATTCCGCCTAGTGGAAAACCGGCTTTAAAGACAGTGTCAGTGCCCTTGCACGATGATTATGCTTCAATCTTCATTCAATTTTGTTTAGGTTAGAATTTAAAGTGTCACATTTGTACGTGTGTTCATACGTTCACATACGCCAGGGTACGAATTGTATATATACGAGAAATCGCGTAGTGTAAATGGGTCTTAACGGGTCGAGCCTGTAGGCTGTGGTTTCTACGAAAATACCGATATTCTTGATGGTAAAAAAATTATTAGCACTAGTTGCCATAACAAAAAAAAAATATTTACTGTTAATTGCCATTACAACAAGGTTTATGTACTGTTAATTGCCAGGGGCCGGTTGTTCGAAAGATGGATAACTTATCCAACGGATAAGTCCTATCCAACGGATAAAACTGCTATCCAGTGGATAGTTATCCATTGGATAAAAATGCGTTGCACGAAGCGTGGATAGTGAAGTGTATAGCTTATCCAATAGATAAGTTAAAATTTACCGGAAGAAAACAGGATTATCCTGAAATTTCGTACCACAAAGTCAGCTGTTGCTAAGCATTTACAACATTGAATTCATAATCATTACGAATTCTCGAGTATAGTTACTGAATGGAAAAGACTTGAACAAGTGATTTGCTCGAACTTTGCACTTCACATCATAGTGATTTTATTAATTAAACACATTGCAATTTTATTCCTTGACCTTGCAACGCTTTGCCTTTCGGTCCCATAGCAAATTTAGGAACACTATTTTATTGTTCGTGAATGAAATTACTTAGATATTAGCAAGTTTCCTTGGAAAAGGTTGAATCGTTCTTTGCATATTCGCGTTTATAAACTGATTAGAAGCGTATAGTAAATTTACCGCCTGTTATAAATGCGAGGATGTCCATGCAAAAATCGCCGCTCGGAACGGAATGTGCGTAGTGACGCTGCTGCGACAAATTGCACTTCGAAAACATTTTTAATAGTCAATACAATCATGATGTGTATTAGTTTGTTGAAACACAGTAACAGGAATATTGCATTTTTGTCCTATTTTATATAAATGTTTACAGTGTTACCTTGTATCTTTGAATTTATCCACTGGATAGTGGATTTAAACCACCTCCGAACCTTGGATAAATTTATCCGGTAGATAGCGATTTTTATCCCCTGGATAAAGTTATCCAAGCTTCGTGCAACGCAAATCACACGCTGGATAAAACTTATCCGTTGGATAGCGACTTATCCGTTGGATAGCGACTTATCCACTTTTCGAACAACCGGCCCCAGGACAACAAGATTTACTGTTAATTGCCATGACAACAAGGTTTATTTCCTACAGTTAATTAACACGAATCACACGATAATAAGGTTTATTGTTATTTGACATGACAACAAACTAACAAAGTTCATTCACCATTAATTAACCGGAAGAATTACAGGGCATTCCTTCGCACAGTTAAAACGGCCAGACTGGTCTTAAATTTCAGTACAGACAATTTAATGATATTTTAAAGTGGAACCCTGCATTTAGGCACGTCGTAATTACATCTGCCTAGGACGGGAGATGGAGTCTCTCCGCAATAATTCTCCGCAATATTCTTAACGAAATACTCTATTTCAATTGACCGGTTTGACCATTTTAGCCGCTTAAAGGAAAACGCCCGAGGTTCGTATACCGTTATTAGACAAATATTTTTATATTTAACGTTTTTTAGTTTGATTAACTAAATTCAAGATAAAAGTCAAGAAAATTGCCTCTGCTATTAGTTCCACAACTAACCGGGTCGAAGTCAGGAAAGCTAAATCCATGCCACCAATTCCTAATACGGTTTTTAATTCCTCGTACCTCATCCATGCTGTAGCAATAAACCACACCCTTTGACCTGGTCATTGGTTGACTTGCACAGGTTCCTTTATCCACTGTGTCCGTTCGAGTCTCACCTACATTGTTTTCAGCAATGAAAACGATGGATTCTCTCGTTATAGGATCGCAGACTGCCTTCCAGAAATATTTAGGAACCGTCATCCTCCCAGTTCCTGCTACATATGGTTTTCTAGGCCAAACACTAACTGTCCAGTACTTCGCTATACCCGCTGTAAAGTCAAATAAATATGTCACACTACTGTAGCGATTTCAACCTTATGAATAAATCGAGACGGGATGAACTTGTGTAAAATTATGACATTTGGAATTCAGAATAACGGTATTTAGTGTTTTTGGATACCATTTCGTGTTTGCAACATTTATTTGTGCATTCCTTGGGTGTTTTTTCCCGCGGGACATCGTGTAAATGACGCAGGGGAAAGTTGTATGATACGGTGGAGACAAGCGATAAATACAGAGGGCGGGTTTACGGTAATTACCTGTTCCTGTGAAAACGTAAACACCATGCTGAACGGTTTTAGCGTAATCCTTCACAGCTTTTTCAACCATTCTCCAATTTCCCTCATTAAAAACATCCCACTGTGGTGCAATGTTGGTCATGATGAACGTGAGGTCACGCTCGTTTTTGGTGTTGAATGCTCCACTAGGCGCGAGATGACCTCGGTTACAAAACTCTCGATCCTTCTCTCCCGAGTTGCAGTCTTCATGTACCGCTTGTGGATTTGGAGCTGAAAAAAAAATTGAGGAACCCAATGCAGTATACGTCATATTAACACTATAATGTACACCTCCCGCTGATGGGTTGTGGTTTTTATTACCCTTGATTATGGTAGAAAACTGAAAAACGGCCGGACGATACCTGTCATATGACCTGGTTATGTGCTTACCTCGAATACCCTTAACTATCTCGTAACCACGCCATTAAGAGCTTCATTTGATCGACGTTAATCAATACTGATACCTACCATATATTCCTTCGTCCTTTCTGAAGGGTCTTGGTCGGGTGTACTCAGTTCCCACATATGTACCGGCTGGAACAATGTACGCGGCGAACTCGGGTATCAGTTTATTTGTGTTGTAACAAGAGATGTACTGAGCATTGCCTTGGCGACGTATGCCCTCGCGCCAACCATAACACAGTCTCGAATGGTGTGCTTTGTTACAAGCAGCAGTCGGTGAGGTCCTGAGAACTCGGCGTGCTCTCCTGTTCCATCGATTGATCATACAAATATCGAAGTTGTCGCTGAAGGCATCTTTGTTTGGATCAGGGGCTCTTTTGTAGCCTTAGAAGAAAACAATTGACACATAAAATATTCAGTTGTTGCACTTGTAAATTATAATGGTTTTAACATTAATTTTTATGAAACATTCACTACGTTTTCTAATAACGCCGGAAAACATAATTATTTAATTATGTACTTCATGCTATGGGAATCAAACTAGAACAAGAGAAGAATACAGGCGTGTGCTAAAGTTATGGCGTTCTGCAATTCACCACGAAATTACATATTTGTCAAAGCGCTTAATTGCGATTAGCCCATTGTGAGATAACAATGTTCGTTCGAAAAATATGCGACAAAATGCAACTTTTAATATAAAAGATTACGACAAGTTACACAGTTACACGAGGCAAAATGACAGCGTTAATTGGGCAAAGAACCTGACATTCATTTTTATTTACCTTTGACTGACGTTTGAACAGAAATCCGCTCGGCCTTGAATCCCACAGAATTCATAAAAATGACCAGAATGCATAACTGACAGAACATTTTCTTCGCGATCTAAGAAGCCAATCGACCTAGCTGTTAACAAAAAGTAGCTAGTTTTAAGCTATTTTCATTTGTTTATGTTGCTATAGAAGGTTATATCTATGAAATATATTAGTGCCTAACTTGACAGAATTCTTTTGTGGAATGACAATGAAACGCTATGAACTCATTGTTTAAAAAAGGATCCCTGGTGCCATTGGCAGATGTCAAAAAATTAACGGGTGTGAAATGATCCCCGCTGGGAATATAATGCGCGTATAAATTATGCGCATATAAATTATCTCTACTGCGCTTATATTAACCAAATGATCTCTATAGTGCGCTTATTAACCAGAGGAAGAACAGACGGGGATAAAAAATGAAAAATGTGTCAACATAGTTCCTCCTCCCACGAACCCTTTCTATACTGAATAGTACTATTTATGACTTGAATGCTTTAAACCGGGAACATATATACGGAGGTTCTTTTGAAGCGACATAGATATCAAACCCTTGAAAGTTTCGGGAAAAATTACAATGAAAATTTTTACAATGAAAATGTCACATTGCAATGAAAATATTTAAACTCTTTAACCAGTAGGTTTAAAATTTGCTTGCATTTTTAAATTCAATTGTCAGAAATCGACCTTGGGAAACTAAAGACATTTCTGTCACCGTTAGTTTTGAAATTAGCCCGTCTAAATTAGTATACATATAAGTATTGATCCATAGGTAGTTGGAACAATATTATTTAAGCAACACGCTAAAAACTTTATATCAATAAAACTAAGTATTTTCTTCTTACTTCGAAACATTCATCGCTATGTATTGTTGCATGTTTGAACATAAAAGAATTTGCACAAGCGTGTTCTGGTGGCAGATGTGAAAGATTCAACAAGCGTGAAATAATCTCCGCTGTGCCCAGCCTCGGGTTAACGGTGCTATCAATAATAGAAGCCATGCGCTTAAAATCGACCTTGGGAAACTAAAGACATTTCTGTCACCGTTAGTTTTCATATTAGCCCGTCTAAATTAGCATACATATAAGTATTGATCCATAGGTAGTTGGAACAATATTATTTAAGCAACACGCTAAAAACTTTATATCAATAAAACTAAGTATTATCTTCTTACTTTTAAACATTCATCGCTATGCATTGTTGCTTGTTTGAACATAAAAGAATTTGCACAAGCGTCGTCTGGTGGCCGATGTGAAAGATTTAACAAGCGTGAAATAATCTTCGCTGTGCTCAGCCTCGGTTAACGCTGCTATCAGTAATAGTAGCCATGCGCTTAAATTAATCTGAGGATTTCAAATTTTCTTAAACAGTTAAATAGAAAACATGAAGTTTGCAACGCATCGGAAATTTCCAATGTATATATCTGCGCATATAGTTTGCCAAGTGTCAAGAAATCCTCTATTACATAAAGGACTACAGGTTTTTCGCTTGTGTCCCTTATAACAAGGACAGACCTTAAGAAAAAAGCAAAACGAACGTTGTATATTTTGCAAGTCTTAAATAGTGGAGGGGGGGACAAGTTGCCGGTTGTCGGGACGGAGAGTTATAGTACTGTTGTACACACTATTTGTTGGATTTTAACAAAATATGGGATGCATATCCAGAGATTTATTTTATGTGTATCATGTTTTTCCGTCAAAGCACACTTTGTTCAATTTATTAGAGAGCGGCAGGCCTAAAATAACTCTTTATCCAAAGAACAGATGATAACAAGTGCAGCTAAGTGCAGGGGTTGTAACGTTAAAAAGGTTAATTGTGCCTAATTGTTATTAGCTTAATTTTGCTTTTTAACGTCACAAGGGAGAAAAATGGGTATTTAAACCCTAAAGTTGTTATGCTAATTACGATATATTGAGTTTTTTAACGTCATAACCTAGCTGTTAGTGTCACGTTGACTAAAGTCACATTATAGTCATTGTAGCAAAACAGTGACTTTGGATAAAAGTCGAAAATAGTTAAAAAAAACTCTTGCAAAAATTCTTGTGAATGCGCGGATGCATCGTATGAAAATATCAAATAAAGATGTCTAAGTTAATTTGAATATTTAAATTGTATAGCAAAAAATTTGTAACAGGTTAAGTGTCACATGTACATTTATAAATTTCCGTTTCATGCATACAAAAAGGCCTTCCTTTTTTTTTATTTTTAACATACACTGGACCTGAGTTACTGTTCGCCAAACATCGTTAGACCAGACCTTGAGCAAATTTTTAAAATTAATTAGCAGCTTGTGGAAATGATCCACGACAAGCAATGTGAGTAAATTAAGCACCGAAACGTTTCAAAACGGCTGCTCCACTGATCTGCAGAATGTCGGGAAATCGTGGCCAAATTCAATTTTTTGACAATTTTTCCACTCAATATACTTTACAGTAAAAGTTAAAGAAGCATTACGTATTGATGAAATGAAAATTATCCTTCTTTATCTTGACTGACTTGAAAATCTGACTTGAAATCGATCTTAGTCGACTTCTCAATTCTTCAAGATTTATTTCAGCTAGCTCAGTATTCTGCTGATGTAGGTCAGTACACAGTTGTTTCACTTGTTTATAAATGTAGTGACTGTTACATGAAGTGCGCATAAGTGACTAACAATAACGCAGGCATAGGTCAGCAGGCCCGACAGAGCACACGGGACTCCAGCAAGAGAACTAGGAAGCTGGGACGTTGACAATATTTTGTGTTTATATTATTGTACAAAAGTTTTTTTCTATAAATAAAAAGCGTTCTTCGTACACAACAACCTGTTCAACAAGTTACATTATCAGCGTCCAGATGGCCGAGGGTATTATTGCAATTATCTTTTGGCTAAAAGACCCTTTGCTTCGAAAACATAAATATGTTTTTGATCGATGCAAATACAAATAATTTTCCATTATAAAAATGCATGGTATTCATTAAAGCATTTCCTTCTCCCATAAAATCCGTTCGTCTTTCTCGGTTATTGCTATTTTTTCAGCCATCTTTGCAGATTTGCCAACAGAATCTCTCCCCTCGTTGCTTTTCTCATCTCTGCGTCCAATACTTGACGAAATAAGGTCAATCTGCAAAATGAGTTGTATTGTTTTAGCATAATATTTTAAGTAACTACCTTTAAAATGTTAGAAAACCCACCTCTTATCTTTCTTATCGAGCAGTGAAATTGCCAAACTGCCCTTTTCCATTTGCAAATGCCGCTGTATGCCAGAGAGCACACTGTAAAGTGTTCTTGCTGGATGACCTTACAAACTTCGTAAGCAAAGACACAATGAATGAGTGTATCAGCAGTCATGCTGGTTATATTGAAGTCCAAACGTTGTACTTTGTCAGCTTCGTGCAAACATAAACGAACAGCTCTCTGAGCGCGGATTTTTGTTTCGGTTCTCGCCAACTGTTATTCATTGAATATTCTGTATGTCCATTTGGTGGAGTCTCGAGTCGACTTTGGCACGGCATCTTCCAACATTTTCTTCTCTTCTTCTGTACTTTCAGCTTTACGAAAAACCCTCTTTGAGCCCTGCATTCACACCCAAAAGGAAATAAGGATTTAAATGAGGCTTTTAGTTTGTGAATTCTGTTATTGAATTGATTCAGCGAACGAAGAATAAAGCGATTGAAAATTGTGTGTAATTGAATTCGTTGTTTCAGTTTATTATTAAACTTATGGAAATAAGTTTAATAATAAACTGTAATAATAAAATAATAAAAATTAAATTGGTGGAAATACGTCATTTAATACTTAAAAGTTACCTTGTCTTTTATACAACAGTCCCTGGTGATTTGTGAAAGATAAATAAAGTTTAACTCGACCATCGAAGTGGTTGAATTTTTTCAAGCGATGAGAAGTATTTTTCTAACTCTTTTTTTAAGTATTATGTTTATGGAAATTACTACAGCGTAACTTTTAAATAAATCAATAAACTGATTGAAGCGAAATATCATTAACCTTTTGTCACGGGAGTTATTTTAAGCATATATATTGGTAAACGCTCATAAACAACGAATTCTGTCACATTTTAAGCAACTCTTAAAGACAGTGCCCTTGCACGAAATATTCCGATCAACTAATCTGGTGGCAATAAAAACGTTCCGTACGCCTATTAGGTATAAGCAGCGCGCTACGTCAGCACAAAAAAAGCAATGTTTAATGCGTGTTTAATAAGAATTGTAAATAAGAATTGTTACGTAAAAGGAGTAGTTATTTTCAAAGTTGCAGTGAATAACAAAACAACATGATTAATATTTTATCAACTTCTTACTAACGGAGTGCGACGCTTTAACCGAAAAATATCGACGGCGTCTCTTTAAAGACCGATAAGTTGTGTGCAATTATCATTCTGATGAATGCAGAGGGCCTATTATGCTACAATCTTCATTCAATTTTGTTCAGGTTGGAATTTAAAGTGTCACATTTGTACGTGTGTTCATACGTTCACATACGCCAGGGTACGAATTGTATACGACAAATCGCATAGTGTAAATGGGCCTTAACGGGCGGGGCTGCCTGTAGACTGGAGTTTCTACGAAAATACCGATATACTTGATGGTAAAAAAATAATTGCCATGACGACAGGGTTTAGTTAATGTTAATTGCCAGGACAACAAGATTTATTTACTGTTATTTGACTCGATAACAAGGTTTATTTCTTACAGTTAATTGACACGAATCACAGACAATTTAATGATATTTTAAAGTGTTTTAAGGAACCCTGCATTTAAGCACGTCGTAATTACATCTGCCTAGCACGGGAAATGGAGTCTCTCCGCAATAATTCTCCGCAATATTCTTAATGAAATACTCTATTTCAATTGACTGGTTTGACCATTTTAGCCACTTAAAGGAAAGCGTCCGAGGTTTGTATACCGTTAATAGACAAATATTTTTATATCTAATGTTCTTTTACTTGTGTTAGATAAATCTAAGATGCAAATCAAGAAAATTGCCTCTACAATCAGTTTGACAATTAACCGGGTCGAAGTCAGGAAAGCTAAATCCATGCCACCAATTACTAACACGGTTTCCGCGTAGCGCATCCATGCTGTAGCAATAAACCACACCTTTTGACCTGGTCATTGGTTGACCTGCACAGGTTCCTTTATCCACTTTGTCCGTTCGAGTCTCACCTACATTGTTTTCAGCAATGAAAAC